CTACGTGCATTTCCCGCCTCCGTCCGTTCGCACTGTCACAATGCCCGCGCACGCTCACGTATAAAATGATAGCCAGCGTGACCCCAAACGGTGAGTTTCTAGCAATCACTGTTGTGCACCAGTTGTTGTGCACCAGATATATGTTTTTGGGAGGTGAACAAATGGGGAACGCGCGACCACTGAATCTCACTACGGCGGGACTGCCAAAATAACGTGACGCCGAAAATCGCCAGGCAAATCAGGATCGCTATACAAGCTGACCTGCCATAGACAAGCTCATTGGATTAAATGTAGCCTGGGAGAAAAGAGCTGGCGAGATGACCGTGACATGACATACGGGGAAGGGAGAGGGGACGGGACGAGGAGGAGGACGAGGAGGACGAACAAGAGGAAACAACAACCACAACTGATTCGTGATAAGACAGTCGACGAGGCCACAATATCCTAAGATAAATCCCAAAACAACGCTGTCGAAGACCCATGGTGTGCAATATACGTGGTGCTGTTCAATCTGTGCAATATGTGTGGTGCGATATACGTGAAATTCACTTGCCGAATTTGAAATTGTCAACTCCACTGCTCGCGCAATCATCCCACCCACCCGCCCGCAATTTGGTTTGCAAAACCCATGGGGGAAGCGATTGCGATGAGTGCTTGGCGATGCCTGCTGCATTTTTGCGGCCGCGCTAGCCCGCGCATGCTCGCGCGCGCAGCGGCCAGCTATTTTGGCGCGACCGACGCGGCAACGTTGGCGCTGACCACGGGGCACGTTCTAGCGGGCACTTCGGTGCGAATCGGCGACTTGCGCGAGCGCGGTACCATGGCAACGTCGACAGCGGTAGACACGATGATGATAGTAGCGATGCTGGTGACGATGCTGACAACGACGACGGGGCAGCCAGTGACGGCACCGATGGCGATCACGCCGACGACGATGATGGCGTCCTCGCGTCGGTGATGAAGGTTTTGGAAGGAGTTCGACATGCGCGCGCGGCTGACGCGCGAGAATGGCCCGCATGGTACTCGTTGACACGGATCGTGCCACCCCAGAACGCGCGCAAGGGCGTTCGAATGATTTCGACACGCGCGCGCGCGAAGCTCGTCTAGTACTATTTTATGTACGGAATAAACCCATGGCTATTCTTAAGGATCCGAAAACGCACCCCGCGCGCAAGCTTTCTGCTTGAAACCCGCGTTGCGAAACCTCGTGTTTTTTGCATGTGTTATGGACATTCGATGCTGAAAACCTAACGAAACCAAAGGTTGTTGTAAAGGATTTCGGCATGCGCGCGCGACGACGCGCGCGTGCGCACTTCGTTCCATTCTCCGGAAGGGACTTATAAGAACTTACGATTTGTGATAAACGAGTGCGCGCGCATAATATTTTCTGCAGGGGATGACGGGCGGGGCGATACCGGCCTGGCTGGGATGGTACGAGTTCATATTTCGGATGAACGATGGGGCAGAATCAAATGTAAATTGCAACACGAGAAGGGGTGCTGATAGTCCGGGGTGGTCGAATCTATTCTGTTGTCAGAAAAGAGAAATAACCAATGATGGAAGTGAGTTATCCACCTCACTGCTCGCGCAACCATCCCACCCCATCACCTGCAACTTGCTCTGCGAAACCCATGCGGAAGCGATGGCGATAAGTGTTTGGTGTTGGTTGCTGCATCTCTGCCGCCGCGCCAACCCGCGCATGCTCGCGCGCGCAGCGGACACCTAGTTTGGTGCGACCGACGCGGCCACGTTGGCGCTGACCGCGGGGCACATCCCAGCGGGCATTTCACTGCGAGTTGGCGGTATCATGGCAACGTCGACAGCGGCAAACACGATGATGAGAATAGCGATGCTGGTGACGATACTGACAACGACGACGGCACGGCCGGTGACGGCGCAGATGCTGATCACGTCGACGACGATGATGGCGTCCCCGCCTACATGCGCGCGCGGGGCCTACGCGAGAGTGGCCCGTATGGTAATCGTTGACGCGGATCGTGCACCCCAGCACGCGCGCAATTGCGATCGAATGATTTCGACATGCGGCGCGAAACGCCCGTCTGGCAGAATGAACAGAAAATGTTGGAAACCGATGGTTTGCTTAAGGATTCGCAAGATCGCGAACGCAGGCTTTGTTGAAAACTGATGTTGGGAAAACAAATGTTTGAATATGTGTTCGGGACACTCGAATTTGAAATCCTTACGAACCCAAATGTTGTTGACGGATTCCGACATGCGCGCGCGACGACGCGCGCGTGCAATCCGTCGCATATGTTGCAATGGACCCTTGCGACAGCACGCGCGCAAGGGAGTTCGAACGATTTCTACATGCGCGCGGAACACGTTTGGCACCCTTTTTTACGAAAAGATTGAACACATATGCTTGTCTGACGGTTTCGCAAGAGCGCGCGCAAGCTTGTTTTGAAAATCCGGTGTGCTATAACGGCGTGGTGTCATTTATGTGGTGCGACATATGTTGTGCACTCTAGGCGGTGCACTATATATCTAAATATATATACATAATTGTGCAATCCACGTGGTGCAATCTATGCGGTTCAATGTATGGTGTGAAATCTTTGTGGTGCAGTCGAGGTGGTACAACCTATGCGGTGCAACCTGCGTGGTGCACTCTATGCGGCGCAATATACATGGTGCGATGTATGCGTTTGGCCACCTCCACTGCTCGCACAATCATCCCACCCACCCACCCGCAACTAGGTTTGCAAAACCCATGCGGTGGCGATTGCGATGAATGCTTGACGTTGACTGGTTGATGTTTGCGGCCGCGCCGACCCAAGCACGCGCACGCAGCGGCCAACAAGTTTGGCGCGACCGACGCGGCCGCGGCGGCCCTAACCGCTGGGCACATCGCAGCGGGCGGGCGCGGTATCATGGCAACGTCGACAACGGTAGACACGATGATGATGATAGTAGCGATGCTGATGGCAATAATAACGACGACGACGGCGCGGCCAGTGCAGGCGCCGATGTTGATCACGCCGACGACAATGACGGCGTGCTAGCGTCGGTGATGAAGTTTTTGAAATGGTTTCGACATGCGCGCGCGGCCGACGCGCGAGTGGCCCGCGCGGTATTCTTTGACACAGATCGTGCCCCCCCAGCGCGCGCGCAAGGGCGTGCGAATAATGTCGGTATGCGGCGCCACAGGCCCGTCTAGCAGAATTCCATGAGCATGTTGAGAACACGATGATTCTCTTCAGAGCTCGCAAGAGCGCGAGCGCATGCTTTCTGAAAACTAATGCTGCGAAACTATGTGTTTATATATGTTGTTTGACACATGGTTTTGACATTGCTACGAACCCAAAAAGTTTTTGAGTGATTTCGGCATGCGCGCGCGACGACGCGAGCGTGTGCACTCCGTCCCTTCTTTTGCAAAGGATTCTCGCGACGGCACGCGCGCAAGGGCGTTCGAACGATTTCGACATGCGCGCGCGAAGCCGGTCTGGTAGCATGTTATGAACATGTTGAAAAGCCTATGATTTTCTTAAAATTCACTAGAGCGCGCGCGCACGTTTTTGTTGAAGATCCGTGTTGCGAAATCCTGTGTGTTTCGGACATTCGGTTTTGAAATCCTTACGATACCGAAGTTTTGGCAGGATTTCGGCATGCGCGCGCGAAGACGCGCGCGTGTGCACTTCGTCTAATTTTTCGCAAGGGGCCCTTGACAATTTATGATTCTTGATCTACGAGTGCGCGTGCATAGTATCTTTTACAGGGGATTGCAGGACGGGCGATAACGGTTCCCCTGGGATGGTACGAATTCAGATTTAGGATGGACAATGGGGCAGAATCAAATGTAAATTGCAATACGGGAAGGGGAAGTGCTGATCACGGGGAGGCAGAGTCTCGTCTCTTCTTAGAAAGGAGACTATACGTTGTGCACTCTCTGAGGTGCAACCTCTGCTGTGCAATCCATGTTGTGCAATATATGCGGTGCAATCTATGTTGTGCAACCCAGGGCGGCGACGAGACGTCGCTGGGGCGGCGACGGCCGGCACGGAGCCGCCAGACCTACACAGAGCCGCCAGACCGACACACAAGCCGAGGCGACGGGCGGCGACGGGGTGGCGACGGGGCCGCGACAGCCCGTACGAAGCTGCCAGACCGATACACACGCCCAGTCCTTTAGGCCCGAAGGAAGGACCCCTAAGTGCAAGCACTGTCTGGGAAGAAATGTCGTGCAGAATCGACGCGTCACCACTCCGCAGCAAAGGGTAGCCAACTAGATGGTATTGATGACGATAGTGATGCTGATGCGAATGCGGATGATAAAGTGACGATGGCGATAACGCTGACGATGGCGATGATCATGGTCATGAGCATGATGATGACGATGGTGGTGATGGTGCTGATGATGACAATGACGATGATGATGGTCGCAATGATATTGATGGCGACGACGACAATGATGATGATGATGATGATGAAGACACCCACGATGATGATGATGATGATGATGATGATGATGATGATGATGATGATGATGGTGATGATGATGATGATGATGCTGGTGATGATGATGCTGACGATGATGATGATGATGCAGATGATGATGACCATGATGATGATAATGATGATGATGATGATGATGATGAGGGTGATGATGATGATGAGATCGAGGATGAGGATCCCGAGCATGAGCAAGATCATGATGACGTTGCTGATGATAATAATGATGATAGTTCTGACGCTGATGATGATGATGATGATGATCAGGAGGAGGAGGATGCTGATCATGATGGTGATGTGGATAGTCATGGTCACGGTGATGATGATGGTGATGATGATGATGCCGACGACGATGACGACGACGATGATGATGATAACGATGATGCAGACGAGAATGATGATAGTGATACGATGGTGATGGTGATGGTGATGGTGATGGTGATGGTGGTGGTAATGATGATGACCATGGCGGCGATGATGATCACCATGATGGTTGGAAGGTGCCGAGGAAGCAGACAGACGGGCACAGCCTCCACCTCGTGGGTGCAGAACTCCAGCCAGGTATCGATCGCGCCCTTCGGGCGGAAAAGCATCGTCGCCGAAGTCGTCAGCATCGTCGTCCTCCACTCTTCCATCACCGTCATCATCATCATCAACAACAACAATCATTATCATCATCATCATCATCATCATCAGCATCATCAGCCTCGTCCTCCTCTCCATCACCGCCATCATCATCCTCATCCTCAACCTTCTCATCATCATCAGCACCAGCATCATCATCATCATCATCATCATCATCATCAGCATCATCATCATCATCATCATCATCATTAGCCGAGGGGCAGTGCGAGCAGGGAACTCCTGACCCCTTCAGCCGCGTGAATCACATCATCATCCTTATCATCATCAACATCGTCGTCGTCGTTGTCGTCGTCGTCATCTCCGTCGGCATTATCATCACCATATCGCCATCATCATCAAAAGCATCAGCACAACCATGACCATCGTCATCAACAGTAACAACAATCATCATCATCATCATTATCATCATCAGCAGCATCGTCATCACCATGATCATTACATTCATCTTCATCATCATTGTACAGGTACCACCATCCTCATCAGCAGCAGCAGCAGTAGCATCGTCATCATCATCATCCTCATCAGCATCATCATCAGCATCATCATCCTCAGCAGCGTCAACCTCCATCATCATCATGACCATCAGTCTCAGCACCAGCATCATCATCGTCTTCGTCATCGTCATCGCCATCGCCGTCATCAGCATCATCAGCATCATCTGCATCGTCGTCATCATTATCAGCAGTAGCATCGCCATCGTCATCATCATCACCAGCATCAGCATCATCATAATCCTCATCAGCATACTCATCATCACCATTAGCATCATAAGCACCATCAGTGGCATCAGCATCATCATCATCGCAATCAACATCGTGATCAACCTCATCCTCATCAGTATCTTCCTCCCCCTCCTCCTCCTCCTCCTCCTCCTCCTCCTCCTCCTCCCCCTCTTCCTCATCCTCCCATTCATCATCATCATCATCATCATCATCATCATCATCATCATCATCATCATCATCAGCAGCAGCAGCAGCAGCAGCAGCATCATCAGTGCCAGCATCATCAGCATCATCAGCATCGTCATCAACATCAAAATCATCCGCCGCTTCCTCCTCATCATCATCACCATTATGACCATCATCAAAATAATCATCATCATCAGCAGCATCATCACCATCATCATCATCCTCATCTTATTATTCCTCCTCAGCATCATCACCACCATCGTCACCATGATCATCATAATATTCGGCATCATCACCATCATCAGCATCATCAAAAGTAGCATCGTTATCGTCATCATCATCAGCAGCATCATCATTAGCATCATCATCATCATCATCATCATCATCATCATCATCATCATCATCATCATCATCATCATCATCATCATCATTGGCATCATCAGCATCATCAGTATCATCAGCATCATCATCATCATCATCATCATCATCATCGTCATCATCATCACAGTCAGCATCGTGATCAACCTCGCCCTCATTATCATCTCCCTCCCCCTCCTCCTCCGCCTCACCCTCCTGCTCCTCCTCCGCCTTCTCCTCATCATCCTCATCATCATCATCATCATCATCATCATCATCATCATCATCATCATCATCATCATCATCATCATCATCATCATCAATATCAACATCATCATCATCATCCGCCTCCTCCTTCTCCTCCTCATCATCATCATCACCATCCTCAGCATCATCAGCAGCATCATCACCATCATCATCGTCGTTATCATCGTCATCATCATCCTCATCTTATTCCTCCTCCCCATCATCATAATCATCACCAACATCATTACCATGATCATCAAAATCATCGCCATCATCCTCATAAGCATCATCATTATCATCATCGTGGTCATCATCATCATCATCATCATCATCATCATCATCATCATCCTCATCATCATCATCATCATCATCATCGTCATCCTCGTCATCCTCGTCATCATCAGCAGCATCATCATCATTAACATCCTCCGCATCGTCGCATCAGAATCAACAATATCATCAGCCTCATCATCATCATCATCAGCATCATCATCTGCATCAGTATCATTATCACCATCATCATCCTCTTCCTCATCATCACTACCACTACCATCACCACCACCACCACCATCATCATCATCATCATCATAATCATCATCAGCATCTTCATCACCCGTCTCCTGCTGCTTCACCTCCTCCTCCTCCTCGCCACATATTCCTCCTCATCCTCCTCCTCTTTCTACTTCTCCTCCTCCTCCTCCTCCTCTTCTTATTCATCCTCCTCCTCTTCTAATTCCTCCTCCTCCTCTTCCTCCCCATCCTAATCCTCCTGTTCCTCCTGCTTCTCCTGATCCTGCTGTTCCTTCTTCTCCTCCTGCTCCTCCTGCACGACGAACACGACGCTGATGATGTCAACGACGACGACGGCGAAAACGACGCTGACGAAGCAGACGAAGCAGACGAAGCAGACGAAGCAGACGACGACGACGACGACGACGACGACGACGACGACGCGCCTCGTCGTTGAAGCACTTGCCGTACAGGGCGGTGTCGGCGCGGACCCTCGCGACGTACCTCTCTGCTGCCGTCGCCGCCGCCGCCGAGGCACGAATGGGCGGGAGGGGGAGGGGGGGCCGGGGAGCGGTGCACGGCGACATCCCTGGTGCCACGGCCTTCCGGCGACCCGCTCAGGCCTTCCCGCGGTCCGTCCCGCTCGCCTTCCACCACCTCCTCCTCCTCGTTTCCCGAGGCAAAGATGCAAGCCGTGGGAACTCCCACCGGTGACCTCAGTAGGCCTCCGGGGGCCTCGGACAGGTCACCGAGGACCAGCCAGGTCAACGCCACAACATCGGGCCGGTGGCCTCCGAAGGTTTTCGGGGCCTTCCTCAAGGTCACCGAGGTCCGGCCGGGTGACGTCACCACTTGTCGTCCGCCGTGTCGTCGCACCGTCCCCTCCTCCCGATGGCGCGGTGCGTTGACAATTGCGCTTCTGCCCCGCTGATGGTGCGCTCTCCTGGGGTTCGGTTCGGCCGTGCTTGCGCTACCTTGGTCCTGCTGCTGTGGTCCAGCTCTCTCTGGCTACAACACGGCGGGGTTACCTACGTCAATTCTGTGCCCCCCGCCCCCTTCCCCCAGCATTTATCCCACAACATGGGATAAGTATCGCGCGGAGTATACTCAGTCTCGAAGCCGAAGTATGTATGTTGGTTTGGGGCCCCCAGTTGAAGGAATCCCGCCTCAGGAGTGGGAGGCATCGCGGACGGCATCGTCATTCGGGACGATCCCCCTCCCTCTCGCCCCTCCTCTCGGCGAGGACCGTCAATATGCCTCGTCGGTGAGGACCGGCATTAGGACTCACACCCCTCGCAGCTTCCATCAATAGGGCTGCGGGGTCCTCGCTCCCACCCAACCTTCCATTTTGCCGTCAATAGGCACTGGAGAGGGCCGAGGACCCCCTACGGTCCCTCGGCCAACGAAGACGGCCGTAGGGGGGGGGACCAATACCTCCAGCTCAAAGCACACATGTGCCACCACCTTCAAGCAGAGTCGTCAGTTGCCACCCACCACTCCTATCCTCCCTCGCCCCCTCCCTCCTTCCATACCTCGCTCCCTCCATCCCTCGCTCCCTCCCTCCATCCCTCGTCCCTCCCTCGTTCCCTCCCTCCCTCGCTGTCTCCATTCCTCGCTCCCTCCCTTGTTCCCTCACCTCCCTGGCTCCCTCCCTCGCTACGTCCCTCGCTGCCTCCTCCGCCAGGGGCGGGGAACGGGGAACAGGGCGTGGCGCCCCTTCCCTTCCCTCCCTCCCTCCTCTTCTCTCCGACGAGGGGGCAGAGGGCGAGGGGGAAGGAGAAGGAGAAGCAGCGGGAAGCCAGCGTCTCGATGCCCGCAAGGAGCCGACGACAGAGTGGTCGCGGCCTGTGTGCATGGCCTTCGTGAGATCAGGGATATGAGGGATATGACCGAACATACAAAAAACATGAAACATCGTGTGGCCTTTGGCGGGACATGGAGGCCCTCCTGTATATGTATCAAAACAAAGAACAGATAATGTTTTACGTGAACGAAGAAGAAGAAGAAGAAGAAGAAAATAATAACAACAAACAAAACAAAAAACGTCTTCATGGCAGACCACATCGCGAACAAAACATGGGAAAACGATTGGGTCTTCAGCAGTGCGGGGCCCTCTTGAGAACGGCTTGAAACCCTCTCGGGCGGCGCGTCGTACTTTCAGCGGCCATCTGCTGGACAGATTAAGGCCCTCGTGGACTCTGAGAGCTCTCTTGAAACCCTCGTCGTCTGTACTCGGGCCCGTCGGGGGGCCTCTTGACCCCTTCAGGCCCTCTTCGGGGCCCTCGCGGGGCCAATCGAAAAATATGGGCCCCGACTTAACGTGGGGGCACATGTGGTGCGGGAGGAGGGAGGCGTGGGCCTTGAAGGAGTGAGGAGGGGGGGGGGAGGAAGGGAGGGGGGGAGGGAGGGAGGGCGGACTGAAGGAGGGAGGGAGGGAGGGAGGGAGGGAGGGAGGGAGGACGGAGGTCTTCCCCCAGGATCCTCACACGACGAATCCGCATCGCCTGGCGCACAGACTGAGGGGCCTTGTAGCGGGAGTCGGTCGCCACCGCCGCGGCCGGGGCAGCCGCGGCGACGCACATGCCGCGCGCAGGACACCGCGAAAAACGTGGAGACTTTCCTCGCCGAGGGCCTCGTCTCCAAAGCCACGACCCTGGTGACTCGCCCTGACACGGTGGTCACCGACGCCAGCGTCCACGACGAGCTGCAGAGCCCTTTCCACCGAAGTGAGGCCGCCACCGCAACCGCAGCGCAGCTCCCCGACGACGAAACCGCAGGCAAGCTGCTGCGGGCTGTGCGCAAGGCCATCGAGCAGGCCCCGCGGAGGTCCAGCCCGGGGCCCTGTGGCCCCCACCTCGAACACTGGAAGACCTTCCTGGCAGACTCCGCCGCGCTGGAGGCGACCTGCCAGGTGGCCGTTGCCATTCTCCTCGGCGCCCCCCTGGCGACTTCGCAGCGGCCAACTTGAGGGCTCGGCTGGTGGCGCTGCGGAAGAAGAGCGGGGAACTCCGGCCAGTGGCGTGCGAGAGCGTCCTTCGCAGACTGGCGGCGAAAGCAGCTTGCGAAGTCTTGGAGGAGGAGCGGAAGGACGCTTTCGGCCCCAACCAGGTTGGAGTTGGCACGAGGGCGGGCTGCGAGCGGGTCCACAAAATCGTCACTGCCTTGGCCGAGACATTACTGGGGGCCGCCGTGCTGTCCTTGGACGCCGCCAACGCCTTCAACTCCTTGCCCTGGCAGACGGCGCTGGACGCGGTAGGGCGCCAAGCGCCGAGCCTCGTCCCCGCCACAAACGCCTGGCTGATCCGACAGACAACGCACGTTTTCTGGGACGACCGCAGCAACCCCATGCCCGTGTCTGCCCAGACTGGCGTCGACCAGGGGTGCCCGCTCAGCCCCGCCTTCTTCGCCGTGGGCACCGCGGACGCACTGCACTGGCTCGCTCGCACGAGCGCCTCCAGCAACTGAGCCTTACCGCCCGCCTGGTCCCTTACCTCGACGACGTGCTGGTGGTCGCGCCGGCTGCGTCCGCCGCTCTGGCCCGCGACGTCGTGCAGGAAGAAATGGCTCCAGCCGGTCTGGAGCTCAACGCGGCGAAGACCAAGGTTTGGACTGCTAGCCCAGCCACCGCGGTGCCCCCCCAGCTCGAGCATCTCCGGATGCCACCCTCTCCGTTCTGGGAAACCGTTCGCGTGGTATGACCGCGACGACGGCGACGACGACGCCAGGCTCCCCTTCCTGGCCAGATCCGATAGACGTGAGGTCCTGGACAAGACACGACACTTCCTGGGCCACCTGCGGACGCTGCGCCAGCACGGACTCTCGGCGGAAAAGGGTACACACGCTGCTCCGCACGTATGCCCAAGGCTGGTGCACCCACCTCCTTCGCGCGAGCAACGGGACCGCCTGGGTGGATGAGCTCGACGACTTGCTTTTCAGCGCCTACGCTGAGCTGACCAGGCTTTTGAGCAACGAACAAGAGGATTGGCTCACCCTCCGCCTCAAGGACGGTGGCAACGGCTTCACCTCCGACCAGGATACCGCCGCCCGCGCTTACCTCGGAAGTTGTGTTTTCTGCTTTCGTGGCGCGGCAGCTTGCCTCGGAGGGAGGCCCTTCGGGCCCGCTGCCCTCGGACAGCTGACACCTGGCGACGAGCCGAAGCGGAGCTCGACCGACAGGAGGCGAAGGCCGAACCCTTGGACTGGGCAGCTCTCTGGACCGAGCCCCAGGCCAAACAGCAGGGGCACTGGGGGAAGAAGACCTCCTTCGCCAAGACAGCACGGGCCCTTCGGACGCTGAACGAGGACGGCCAACTCACACTGCGCGGGGCCAGGGGGCCTGGGGCGGGAGCCCGGCTGCTGCCCCGCGAGGAGGACGACGCGCCACTGACAGACGCTCACTTCTTGGCCAACCTACGCATGCGCCTTTGCTGCGACGTCTGCGCCCTGGGCGCGCGATGCCAGCACCGTAAACATGACGGTTCCCTGTGTGGCGAGACACTGGATGCGAAGGGCTGGCACGCCTGGAAACCCAGGTGCGGGGGCAGTAGGGACTGCCGACACAATTTCTTGCGCGACTGGTGTGCGCCGTGGCACTTGCCCCCAGGCCACGCCCGAGCAGCGCGCCCCTGCTTGGGATCGCCAGCACCTCGACCTCGTCTACGTTGACTGGTCTGTCACCTGCGAACACAGCGACAACAACGCTCGCAGGCCGACCAGGGCTCGCCCGGACGGGGTGGCGGCTGCCCAAGCGGTCGACAGGAAGCGGGCGCTGGTTCTGGTCGTCTTGGAGTCAGGGGGCCGACTGGCCGACGAGCTGGTCGCCTTTGTCCGCTCTTACGGCCGCAACTTGCCGGAGACCGAGCGGCCTGGCGTGATTTCCGCCACCTGGAGAAGATCCAGCGCTGCTTGGCTTTCGGAAACGCGGAAATGTTGCTCAGCGCGACGTGAACAATCAAGCAGCCCCCCAACCGCCAGAACGACGTCCACCGCCACTACGACCACTGCCAGCTCCGACGTGGCCACCACCGCGAGTACGGCCACTAATACTGCCACTACCCCGACCCGTGCGACCACCACGTCGACCAGCACCACGCCCACAGCGACCACGCCGCCACTGCCACGACCACAACCACCACCGCCTCCACCACGACCGCCATGAACACCACGACCACCACGACCAACGCCTAGACGACACCACGATACCCATGACCATTATCACTACCTCCACCACCACAACAACGACGACCGTCACGACCACCACCACGACGACGGCGCCCTCCTAACGAACGCAACATCCGCCACCGCCCCGCCCCCCATCTGTCCTGCCCCTTCTGCCTGGCCGCCCCCGAATGGTGTCTCCTCAGCCTCCTTCTCCTCCCTCCGCCTCCCTCCTATGCACATGTAGATTGAAATCGATTGCCAGATCACTATGGAAGCAAGCTTCAGATTTACATACGGATAGAGAAAAAAGAAATTGAGTTGAACTATGGAGGTAGACACGTTTTCCACGAGACTAGTGAACATGGTCGAATTGCTGCCGATGAATCAGACTCCCGCTCGCGGCTTGTCAAATCCTCTGGGGTTACCATGTTAATGTGCGAGAAAGTCTGCAGCGAAACGGACGTTCCGACATCTGCAAGTAGCGGCAAGACTGCTCTGAAGGATCCCCCTGTGGTGCTAAATTGCGAGGATGTATCAGGTGATAGCGGCCTCCCTGAGGCTCAGGCCATCCCTGGCCAGGGCATCTCTGAATAAAGTGTGAAGAAACATCGCACGAGAGCGTCGTGGTTGTTGTTATTGTTGTTGCTGTTGCTGATGATGTTGTCGTTGTTGGTGCTGTTGTTGTTATTGGCGTTGTTGTTGTCGGGGGCAAGTTTGGGCGCAACTCCGAAACGCTCGAGCATGAGCCTCTAATTCAAAGGAAATGCAGCCCGCGCCGAAGCGAGATCGCCAGGTCGCCTGTGGAGCGGAGCCCAACAACAACAATGGCTCAGTAGTTGACATTCAACAATAACGAGCCCGAGGAAGGAGCGCGAGGGAGGGACTGAAGGGCCTGGCGATGGAGTTGCTGGTGAAAATCACGCCCGCCTCGGTCTCGAGGAACGGGACCTGCTGGCGCGTGCGCGCGCACGGAAGCGGCCTCGGATGGCATGCTGGTGCTGCAGCTAACGCCCCCTCTCAAAACTAGTACTTGACCCTGCTGGTGTTCCTCCTCCTCCTTCTCCTCCTCCTCCTCCGCCTCCTCCTCCACGTCCCCCCCTCATCGTCCTCCTTCTCATCCTCCTCATCATCATCCTCCTCCTCCCTCCCCCTCCTCCTCCTCCTGCACCTAATCCTCCTCCTCCTCTCCTCCTCTTCCCTCCTCCTCCTCCTTCTCTTCTCCTCCTCGTCCTCCTCCTGCTCCTCCTCCTCCTCGTCCTCCTCATCCTCCTCATCCTACTCCTCCTTCCTCCTCCTCCTCCTCCCTCCTCCTCTCCCCTCCTCCTTCTTCCCTCCTCCACCTCCTTCCTCCTCCTCCTCCTCCTCCTCCTCATCCTGCCCACCGCCTCTTCCTCCTCCTCCCGCTCCTGATCCTCCTCTCCTGCTCCTCATCATCATCAGCAGCATCGTCCATCATCATCATCGTCACCATCATCATCAGCAGCAGCATCAGCATCAGCATCATCATCATCATCATCCTCATCATCCTCATCATCATCATCATCATCATCATCATCATCATCATCATCATCATCATCAGCAGCAGCAGCAGCATCAGCATCAGCAGTATCATCATCATCACCACCATCACCTTCCTCCTCCTCCTCCTCCTCCTCTTCATATTCCTCCTCCTCCTCCTCCTCCTCACCCTCATGCTCAACATTCCTGCTCCGACTCCCCCTCCACCTCCTCATCTTCGTCCTATACTCATCATCATCATCATCATCATCATCAGCAT